CTTTCTTTCACTTAGGTTATGTCGGGTGGGACCATATTGTTTAACAGAACTTACAGAGACCATGCAACGATTTGTTTAGATGTCACTAAAGAACATGCACTTACCTTTTTTTTTTTTTTTTTTTTTTTTAATGTTAAGTCATGTTTGTGTCTTTCACTCATCAAATAGTTTAGAAAGCAAGAAATTGTGTATCAAATTGGATAACAAATTATAATCTAGATTCCAGCTTCGAAACTTTTTTTTTTTTTTCAAGATAACTTAGAACTTTGTTCCTTGTTATCTGAATTAAATTGTTCTCATGTTTTGCTTTGCTCTAGATTAGTTTATTAAAATGTTTCGGTTTTCATGTGTCTCTAAAGGAAGGAATCGGATAAAATTCAAGTATCTAATCCAAAAGGAAGCTTGGTGAAGGAAATCAGTTTGCCAACTTAGTAAGCAATTTAGAGTCCGAACATAAAACAATAAATAATCAAAATTTTTAAAGTGTGTTGTGTAATACATATCTCACTATTTAATAAATGAAAGCAAACTTTCCTTTTCTACTGTCTAATAAATATCAATTTTTATTTAGTGAAAAACATGTATTCATGGTATCATAGACACTTGCGTACAACTTTGATGCACGATGAGTGCGGTGTGGTTCGCTGTGAGAAAGAGAATGAAAGCGAAAACAGAAAATGGATAAATTGTTGAGGTGGAAAAGGAAATGGGCCTTAGCAGACCCAACTGGATCATAAATAAAATGGGCCCACAAACCCTATCCAATGAGTGTGTGGATTTTGACAAGGGTTATGGATTAGAACAAAGTATTAGCTATGTGTGTGCACCATTGAAACCAAATCCATCATGATACTTAGACACCACCTCAATGAACATTCTACAAAGAACAAACAATGGCATGGTGTAGTTGCTCAACCATCTGGTATACCTTCTTATCCATCCTTATTAAATTTCTACGAGGTTACGTGAAGACACTGCTTTTCATCCAAAAACAAGTTAACCAATTGAAACTTTTCTTGCAAGATGAAGTTAAGTCATGTTAAATTTCAAAGGAACAATATTTTATTCATTATTACATTGTCTGAGTTATCAAGTATATATCATCATCCATCACCACTTACCTACTTTATCCCAAACTTTGAGTTGACTTTTCAAAACCTAATTTTTTAGCCTCTGCCCTATCTTATGCTCCTTAACTTAACCACCTTTTCATCTCTGTTCAATGCTCTATTCTCAGTTTCATCTATAAATGCAATCATAAAATGCAGCTAAAGGTGGAGGAATTGATTTCATCTTCATGTATATAATATCCCAAAGGAATATGTAGTGTGGGTCCTTCTTCATGGAAATTTGGTTCTTAAGTTTAAGAATATTGCAAGTAACATGTTGGTGAGATATAGTCGATCAATCAAATCATGGTAGTTATAATAGATTGAAATCGTGGTATTCATTATACATAGAATAACCAATTGGAAAGAACCTTGGCATTATCCATATATATGGTTTAATTTTATTCTACGCCACCTTGCTTTTCAAAAATTGCAGATCAGGCTAAAACCACATATTCCCTCTATTTCAAACACACTTCTAAAATTATTAATTACATACCTTTTATAAATTTTTTATTATTAAAAAAAATATATTACTTTTTTCAGTCTCGATACTTTAAAATTGTCCATTTTAGTCTTCATATTTGTCATTTTTAATCTTTTTAGTTCTTGTGAATTCAAACCGTATTAAAAATAATTAGAAATGAAAAACAAATACCTTGAAACATATTGAAAATGTTATAACAGACAAAAAGAGCAATATTTATTCTTGATACTTACTTGTCTTGGGAGATGACAAAAATAGAGACAATTTGTTTTCAGAATTAAGTCCCTGAAGAGGTGGTGGCGGACCAATACCCGCTAGTTTGTGTCTGTCGTAATTCGCTATCTCTCTTTTTAACGTTTATCTTTGTTTTCATTTTATGAATTTTATATATTTTTTTATTTTACTTATTTATTTCTTATTATTACTATAAAACTCAAAATAGTTGATGAAAAGGTGAGAAAATAATGAAAAATAAATATGTTTTGTTTGTGTTTGTACATGATCTTATCTTAAGAAGGAGTATGGTTTGGTCTCACTTAAATTTCTTTGACTAGATGTGCTCATTTCAACAATTTACAAAATTATTTTTTTTTACTCAAAAAAGTGAGAGAAAAATCTTTCTTTTAAAGTCAATTCCTTTTCTCATTTTTCAAACGAAATGTCTTATTTTTATTAATGCTGCATACCCAAAATTCCACAAGTTTATTGTTGGATACATGTTTGTCAATAGGAGAAACAACCATAGTTGTTGGGACATTAGCAATAATGAAATCGATCCTCATGTACTCAAAGAAACTACTTAATGGTTATTGGTCTTTGTTTGAATTTTTTAAAAATAATGATTGAAATTTTTTTTTTTAAGTGACTCTTATATAATTTTTTTTCTTTTTTAAATTACTTTTTTAGTGTATTTTTTTTATGAGCAATAACTCCAAATTATTAATTAAAAAAATATTTTTTTTCAATTTATACTTTTTGAATAAGTTTATCCAAACATATTAAAAATCATGATAAATTATTATTAAAAAAAAACACTTGAAGAAATAGACACATAATTTATATTATCTATATCTCTATTTCTTGTTTACACGTATGTTTAGGGTTGTGATGTGAATTAGATATTTGATATTAATGATTAAAGATTCATCTTTAGGGCTTGTCTATTTTCCTGGGCCCAATATGATTTCGTTGTGGTCTCAGTAGAAAACATTAATTGCAAAGTGTAGCACCAAGCTTTACTATTCCTTTATTAACTTAATTGACATTATTTAGAAGTATTAATTAGACCAGAAAATCTAATTAACTTATTCAAGAGTATTATCTTGTATGTAGATGGATTTATTGATGTGTGTATGTGTTTTATTTTTCGTTTCTGTAAAAAAAAATTTGAAATTTAGTGAAAATGAAAAAACAAAATTTCTCCAGGGAGAGGATGGAAAAAAAAAAACACTAAAACAAACCTATAAAATGATAATTATTCTACTTTTATGGGATTGTTCAACTTACTTCAAGTAAAATGGTATGGAACAACTCTATTATAAATTAGTGGTGTATTACTTAAAAATATTATTAGTAGAATTTAATGCTAGTGTTGTTTAAATTTATTTTTATACAGAACAAATTAAACAACTCTTCTTTCTTTCGTAATAAATGTGCAACATAATGTTTTTATATTGTTATTATTATTTAAATTGATCAACATGTTAAATTTAAAAGTGTTTGAATTCTAACATTTTTAATTAATTATAATTTAAAACAAAAATATTAGTTTATTTAAGATCTGAAGGAATTATAATAATACGAAGAAAAAGAAAGAAAAATAGTTTCTTTACATACAATTAGTTTATACATAAATTAAAAATTTGAAAAAATGAATACAAAATATTTTTTATTTGTTTGTTTTTTAAAAATATTTATGGATAAATTTCTCCAAACTTACCTTAATAAATATCTAGCCGTTTAAGTTTCTTTATGATGAGCTAAGTTGTACATTTCTCACAGTTAGGTTGATGTTCTTGGGTTGGGTTCATCTATTTGGGCCTTTACTGGAAGTCCACAATGTCGATTATTTTCTTCGACTTATTATTAAAATAATATCTGTCAAAATTAAAAAAAAAAGTTTAAATAAATTTTATGTCATCAATATAATTGATTTTTTTTTCTGAGTACTTATTAAAAAAAAAATTCATATCAAATATCTAATAAACTAAAATATGTTTTATAAAAATTCTTTTATTACTTGTGTCAATTCTGTTTTTATTGAGTTGAAATATGTTACCGTAATTTAAAATGTTAAGAGATTAAATATATTATTTTTTCTTCTATCATCTGTACTACTGACAAGATATAATGGAAAACAATTCTTATAGTAAATTAAAAAGTAAGCTGAGGACCAATAAAAAAAATATTTTATTGATTAGTTAAAAAAATGTTAATAAAATAATAAAGATAAAATATAAATAAATATTTGTATGAATTATAAATGAAAAATTTATAATTAGTTAGATATCTAATTTAAAAAAAAACACAACACTCAAAATAAATATAAATGATATATTAGACACTTTAAAATTTATTTAAATCTAAAAATACATATTCATATTAATGTTTATAAAGATTGTTTAACACCAACCATTAGACAACTAAAGATAATAATACTACGTACATAGTATTATTATGTAAGTTATTTAATGATTATTTAGATGATTAAACAATCATTTTTTTAAGTTTAAAGAATGGAACATACATTCTTGAAGAAAAGATTGAACACGCACCAATCAATTATAGTGACAAAACTAAAAAATATATATTAAAATTACAAAATAATAGAAACCTCGCGTAATGACTTATTTCATTATGAAATTACCATGTATATAATTTATTTATTTTTTTACATGGAGAAAGATGAACAACACTGCATAAAAAGATGTTTTTGCTTAAAAAAAACAATGCATAAAAAAACAAAAGCAAATGCAAGGACACGCAATTAGAAATATATTATCCAAACGAAACTTTGTATTCAGTGAAATTAATGCACGACATAAAACATCGCATAGTAAATATCGAAATCAGATTATTGATGCTGAAACTTGGTATGATTTTGATTGCACAACTTACAGATATTAACAAAATTGTTCACAATCCTGAATGATAAAACATTCAAATGTATACATTATATACCAAAATATATTCAATTTATAAAAGAGAAAGAAGACATCAAAAGCCAAGATATATGGCAAAGTAATAATCTATACACAAATTAACTATGAGTGTCCACTCCAATCTCGTTTCACTCTCATCATGTGGAGGCCAAAGTAGTTGAAATATCTTGTCTACTTGCCTTTATTATGAATCTTTAGCAGAATTTAAGAATGGACTGGCCAAGAATCTCAGCCAAGGAAAGATCAATTTGAGGAAGAAGATGGTGGGCCAGAGGGCTTAAAAGCCTTTTGTTCAGCACAGGAGAGAACTTCATTAGGCCCTGCCTCTTCTCTGCCAATACCCATGAGATCAAGGTAATAAAGATAGTGGGAAATGATGTTGTTCATGGCTTCATTATCAGATCCCTGACCACAAGTTTGGTCCCCATAGAGCAAATTTATAGTGGCACCAAATCCAGGTACCCTTTTGGACAATGTGTCATTCTTGGTGGGTTTCCAGTTGCCAACAAAGACATCATGTGGTGAAGGTAGGTGCTTCTCAGGTGGGCTCATCCACTGCCACATTGCAGCCTGGAAGGCTAGGGTTGCATTTTGTTCTATGTACTCTGGATGGTTCAACAGATCCACCTTCAAGGCTTCCCCAGCTTTTCCATAGTTGTAGTTCCTGTTATCAAGGAAGAAAACACAAAGAGTTTAATCATAAATTGCTGAAAATTTAGTAAAACCTTCGCATAAAATGCTTCTAACTAACCATTCTGAAAACAAGTAGAGACTTATATAAAGCATTATTTGTTTCTTTCTTAGGAACACAACCTAAACCAATGTTTACACAGATGTGAAAAAAAGCAAATATATATAATGATACTCCAGAAGGTGGATGAGATCCACCATAAATTATTACATGAGATTATGTGGTTCTGATCAATCTTTATATAACACCAAGTTACATTAATCAATTCATGAAAAAATTTAAAAACGTGTAACATATAAAATGATGTAAACCACATAGTCTTAGACCATGTTATAATTCAAATATAGTGATGAAAGGGATATTCAAGAAATCTTAATATGTGAATACCAGTAAAGTGGGATGGCACCACGGCCATAGTATGCTGCACCAGGACTGCAAGGGTAGGTTAATTTGTAGTAGTCATCGCAGTAGAATTTATCAGGACTCAATTCCTTGTTGTAGCATAAGCCCCAGGCTAAGGGTCCCCCAGTAGCCACCCCATAACCACCTGAAACAATATTCCAACAATTTGTTACCATACAAAATTTCATGGTCTTTAAACAAATCTTCTATCAACCTAACCAAAATAAATAAAAATCAAATTGTTCTGATATGATCATATGTCTATACAAAACATCTCACTTGAAACATCTAAATTATTGAGATCATGTATTCAACAAACTGAAAAACATAATTGTGTAAGAATAAGGCCATCTCCATGAATGATCATGAATTCATATCACTTGTGATATCATGATTCATAAACTTGTGATATCGTGATTCATATATCAGAAAAGTGTGACTCACAAGAGGTTTTGCTGCCAACATGGCCGAGGAAAGCTGCAACCTCCTTCTGGCCACTGGTCTTTCCTCCAGTGGTTCCAAAGCCAAGAGGCTGATACAGAGCAGCAGCAGTGATAAAAGAACGGTAATCCCAGAATCCAACAGCATGTGCCACTGGAGAATTGCGCTTTGCAAAGAGGTTCTCAAACTGGTAGGTCTGGAAGTAGTCAGAGATAGTGTCATTGCAGCAATAAGTAGACCAACCTTTGCACTCCCACCCTTTGTCACACACCTTCTTTCCCTTCACCGTCTTCACCAATGGCTTCACTGATGATTGTCCATTCCCAACCACCAACATAGCTGCAATGCTCACCACAAAAATCCATGTTGGACTCATCTTTGTCTCCTACTTTTCTCTTGAATAACGCTTTGGTGCGTGATGTGTTTGCTTGGCACCAAGTGAGAGAAACTATATAGAGATGTTGCATGTAGGAAGAGGGTTCTAGACAGGCTGTAATGTGGAGTGAAAGGAATGGAAAGCGAGTGTGTAACTTATTAGGAGGAAGAGATTTTTCAGAGTTGGAATAAGTGGAGCTTTTGCTTCTATTTTCATTCACGTTTGAGTAGAAGGGAAGAAAACTCGAGGGTGGAGCTTCCATCTGATTAATGTGTACTTGAACGTAAATCGTAGGGTTTTGTAATATTTAGTGGTTACTTTAGCCCTAGATTGTTGAGATTACTACAAATAATTTGTTCCTGAAATTGCATGTATAGGTGGAGTAAATGTAAGAAAGGGAATTCTTGTTCAATTGGGGTATTGTTTGTTAACTTTGTGCAAATTTGAGTTCAATTAAGACACGGCACTATCCATTTTTTTAGTAAGATGGTAATTGATTTTTAGGTTAAACATATTTTTAGATTCTATGGCTTATGTTTACCAATATTTTGTTCATCGAAGCTGAACTCATCCGGGTTTTTTACATTTCGGAGGAATTTAAAAAAAATTACGAAAATATATTATGAAATATAGGTAATTAGATTTAAAATACAATTTCTAATAATAAAAAAATTATTTTTAAAGCTTTTATTCTTTAATTTATTTTATAAATAATAAGTTGTGATTTTAAACCAAACCGTGTTTTAAAATTAATTTAAAAAAAAACAGTAGAAGTAGTGCTTCAAAATATAATTTAAATTTTTTGCTTAAATTGAAGACAACTACTCCAATTAAGTTAAAACCTAGATTTAATTATTTATTCTTGAAAAATATATAAATTTTATATTTGGTCTCTAATAAATTTTGCTTGATTTTTGTTCTTAAATATTAAGATTTTTTTTTTAATTTATCTTTGACAAAAAAAATATTTATACTTTATGTCTATTACTATAATTACTTTTTAAGTGATGTTTGAAATATTTTAACTTTTTTATTTTTTATTTTATTTTATCATAATAATTTATATGTTTCTTTTCATGGTGATGTAGCGAATCAACATAAATAGTATATTATAAGAGATTAAAAGGGAAATAATAATAAAAAAAAGTTTTAGAGATTAAAAGTTAAAAAAAATATTACAAATTTGAATTTATAACTTTTATATTTTTCAGGATAAATAATGAAAAACAATTTTAGGAATAAAATAATATATTATTAATAAATAATAAATTAATACAAAAAGTAAAAAATTAAAAAAATCATATAATTATTAAATTTGAGTGGTTTTAGTATCTAATAATCAAGGCTATTATTAATCCACAAATTTCAATAATTTAATAAAAACAACAGTAAAGTTAAATTAATATATGATAGCTTCTTATATATTCAATCGCTAATATTATATTATTATTATTATTATTAACTAAGTCTTAAAAGAAATTTTTCAACTTTGTCAGTATAAATCTAGGAAAATTATTAAAGTACAAAAATTATGTAACGAATATAACACACAAACATAAGGCCTCTTTAATTTAAAATATATCGTGTTTATTTTTTCACACTAATAATTATAAAAATTCATAATAAAAATTAGTTATATTTTTCAATTTTTTTATAAATTTATTTAAATTTGTAAAAAAAAATATTTTTTGTCATTTTTATAAAAAAACTGTGAAAATATAATCATGGAATATGAGAATTTTTAGTAGTGATTACATATTTTTTAAAATATTTATATGAAAAGAAATATTTATCAGTTATATAAATACTTTGAAACATATAGTGGTGTTTTGTAATTATTAATAACAGTATTTTTTTCAAATTAATAAGATTGAATTTCAATCGTGAATAAATGAAAATAAAAATTGGAGGGAAAAAAATGTAAAGATAAGACGTGGACATGGGTATTTCTAGGTATATTGAAAGGGTTTGAGCACCTAATTTAAATAGGCTTCATATTACTATCAAGCTTATATCAATTTATATGTAAAATAATAAACCCTCATACCAATGTGACTATAATTTTATAAGTGTTGAATCTCTTTTGTAAATAACATAATTGGAAACATCTGGTTGAAAGCATGAAAATTTAATTTTTGTAACTTTTCTATAAGTATTAAAAATATAAGAAATTATTAAAAAAATTTATTGAATGTAACATCTTTTTAATTCTGGATATTAAATATGCATAACTTTTCATCTCAAATTATATCTAAATTAAAATATACAAAACTGAATATAATACTAATTCTAAACAAATATATTATAATTATAGAAAATAAAACTTTATATTTTAATTAAATACCATTTTAGTTAAATATCGTGTATATATTAGATTAATTGGACGTAACATCCTTATAAGCTTTGACTTAACGATGCATATTAAAATAATGTATAGTCTTAAAAATCTTTTATTTAGATTAATAAAAAAATTATAATAATAATAATAAATAATTATTTGTAATAAATTTACTTAAATGAACTGTCAATGTTTATTTTTAGGATGTATCAACTCAAAAATCCTAAATTTAATTAAAATAAAATATAATTAAAATTAAAATAAAAAAATAAACTTAAAAATGTTTTCTATAAAAAAAAAACTAAATAATTCTAATACTCTATTTCACTTTGAGATAGGAATTATTTCTTCTCGAGTAAAAAAATTAATATTAATAGTTCTTTAATAATTATTTTCATAATATTTTATTAAAATCAATATGTAACGAGTATATTAAATTAAATTAATTTTAAATTATTTACGAATAAGATAAAAATAATTTAAAATTTAAATAATATATTTAATTAATTATAAATAAATTATCTTTAAAATAAATGTTGTAAAATACTAATAATTTTCTCTATAAATAATCGACTTCCAAATTCAAAAGCGTAAAACATATTTATTTAGTAAATTATTTTTCCAATCTTTTCCATAGTAAATATCAACGAACAACTTAATTTTTTACCTTTTCACCGTCACCGGTTGCAATACACGTATATATATATATATATGCACATTACATGTCTGATTTTCCTGTAACAATGCTATAAACAGGTTATTGTTTAAATGGTTTATAGTATAGATTTTAAAATATTGATATGATAAGTATCAATTTACCATTTTGACCCTGAACAGTTCAATCTTATTAACGATTTTTCTTTCTCTTTATCACTTTTGTTATCTTCAGGTACAGTATAGGCTTCCATATCTACCCTTCTCTCAATTATTTAATTCTACTGACCCAAACACATCTTTTTTTTTTTCTTTTTAATCCAATAACAAATTTAATAATCGAGAATTGCCCTCTTTTATGAAATTGATTTGAAAAAAACTTTTTTATATGGAATGAAAGAATAAAATCAATTTTTTTATAAATTAAAATTTATGTATAAACTAATTTGAAAAAAAAATTGTAATAATATTTTTCTAAAATTTATTTATTTTTATTTATATATAAGTTAGTTTTAACTTAAGCAAAGTTTCTTTCATTTGTTATAACAAAATTTATCCAGACATATCTAAATCTAATATAAGTTACTATATAGACTTTTTATTATTAAACACTTATATAATAAGGAAGATTCATTTTTTTTTATGATTTCTGGAAATAATTATAATTGTATAGATGATATTAAATCAAATAATGATAATAATAATAATAATAATTATTATTATTATTTTGTTTTATATTTTCCATGAATTCTTATTAGTCTTTATCGGGAGATTCTCAAATAAGATCTTGTTACGAGATTTAAAATTTACGAGATTCTGCTGTAGGAAATAAAAGATCTTCGAAGGATTGATTATTTTATAAGAATTCTGAAGATTTATTAAATATTAAAAAAAATATTTTAAATTTTGAAGCAATCAACTTTTATAAAAAAGAAAAGAAAAGTTGTTGATGAAGGTTAAGGAAAAAAAAACAAACAGAGGGGAGACGAAAAAAGCATGGGAGTAGACAGAAAAGAGTAATTTTTTTAAAATTTAATGTTTGATTATAATTTTAATTATTTTTACACACAATTTCTTTTATTTTAAATTTAAAATTTTTTACACACAATTATATATGTCAATTTAAATTAATATAAATAAACAATTATTTTATTTTTTAAAATTATCAAAAAAATCTTTTAATAAAATATTTAAAATCATATTTTAATTATTACTGTAATTAATGATAAAAATTTTAATTTTTTATTATATTATTATTTATTCATATAATATAAAATATTTATTAATTTTTTATTTCATTTTAAAAAATTAAAATTTAATTAATAGTTTTAAAATATATTTTAAAATGTTAAATTATAACTTATTATAAAATCCACAAAAATTATTCATGATCTTAAAATACAATTTATTATAAAAAAAAAAAGACAAAATCTTAATATATCTTATATTTTGCCTGACACAATGATATCTGCTGAAAAAGTGATATGAAATAACCTATGTTTTTAGATAAACATTTTTTTTTCTGAAAAAATAAAGAATCATAATTATGGATGCTGATGGATTGGACTGGTTAACAAATGAGATACTATTCATGATTGTATTTGAAGTTTGAAATATCTCATCTTCCCCACTAACCAGAAAGTTCAAAAAGATGTGGCCAGTTGGTGGGGCCAACAAAATTAAATTCAGTTTCACCGAAAGCGAACCAAATTATTTTTATTACAGATGATATCGATAATCACAAAATAATTTGTTAATAGAGTTGTTAAGAATAAAATAGAATATTTTATTATAAATCTTATAATTTAATGGTTTAAAATATAATTAGAATTGATTATTTAAGTAATTTTTTTTAATTTTAAATAACTTTTTTTATTTTTAAATATTAAAAATTTATAATAAAATATTCACTTTTATTTTTAACTTTAATTAAATATACTCTTTATAAATATTTTTTAATATTTATAAGAAGAAATTTATAAGATATAAAGTCATTAAAAAAAATATTTAGTTATTATATTTGACTAAATTATAAATCTTGACGTTTATTTTAATATAAAAGCTTGAAAATAATAATTTTGGTCTTCAATGGTTGACATTTAAGGATAAGGTTGCTCTTATATTAGAAGAGTTAATTAACATTCCTATATTTTGTTTTCTTCTTTTTCCTTCTTTTTAAAATTGTTTTTCAACAAGTGAAAATTTTCTGATTATTGAAACAGAAATGAAAAAGGAGTGCCCCTCTTGCAATGTGAACGCTATAAATAAAAGTGGGTGGAGTCAAACTTAGACCAACAATTTGTGTATTGATGGATAGATGCAATGAACATGAACTGTACTAAAGGATTCAACTTTATCTATGTATCTATCAATGGCTTAGTTTTCTTCCTATGAAAAACCAACAACCAATCCCAGCCACAGATTTTGGTCTTTTCTTTTCTCCATATCAGTTTGTGGTGTTTTGTTTAACATTTCCAACCAACTTCCTAATCTTTTGTGAAAAAATTTCTATTCTGGTTCTTACATAATTTAGTTTTTATAAAATCTGTAAATTTGGTTTCTGAATTTTATTTTAATAATTTTGATCTTTTAATTTTTAATTATTTATAAAGTTATTTATTTATTTTATTTTAAATATATTTAATTATACAATTCAAAGAAAAATCTTGTATACTTATCAAATTTATTTTTTTCAACAAATTATGAATTAATTTAGGAAACTTTTATCTGATAGACGCCATCAGTAAGATTCTCTTAATTTTTAAGGATAGTTGAATTCAAATTAAACGAAGAAAAAAATTATAATTATCCTGAACCTACTAAAATTATTTCTTCAATATTATCTTCTACATTTTAATTAATTGAAAGTTCTATTAATTTAATTTTCTAAAACCAAAATTACTCAAAATAATGTTGAGAGAGGAATACCACGTTAGGTCTCCAAAAGTGTTGAGGGTGAATATTTTATAAACTAAACATCGAACAAAATTATTGATGATTATAAATTAACATGTTAAAATTGTGTAAAAAAAAGTCTAAATTATAAAAATTAGTAAAGCATTATAAATATTAAAATGATTATAAAAACTAAATAAATAATTTAATATTATTTTTACTGTAATATTTTATTAATTTAAATTCAAATTATCTAAAAAATATAATTTATATATTATATACACTGGAGTATATATTATTGAAGTTATTTTATTTATAAAATCATTATTATTGTATAAATAATTTTATAATTAAATAAATATTTAATTTCAATTTATTTATTTATTATTTTGTTACGCAAACACTTTTTTTATACTATATTTTTTACTTTATTTTTTTGACTACCGAATAAATAGTTAGAGTTGTAAAATTTGAATATTTCATACAATGTTTACCAAAATACAACATAATATACTAGCGAAGATGGTTAATATACCTGGCCCGTATAAACTGTTCACAAATTTTGAGATTTAAATTTTAAAGAAGAATAACAATTTGTTAACAGTAAGAATAATACTATAGTTGGTATAATTGGATGTTATTAAGTCTATTCAAGATCATCAAAGACGCATTTTAATCAAATATGTTACACAGAAATTATAAATAGTTTATCAATTAAAGGTAAATAGGAAGACTGTATTATTTTTATGGAGAAAATAACTTGAAAGAACACATTAAATATCTTTTAATTTAATATGTAATAATAGTGTTTATTTTTTTTAAGATGATATATTATTATATATAAACTTATAAATAAATGAAAAAATAGGTTAGGAAAATATCAAACTTTAAAGAAAAGTTAAAAGATAAGAAATGAAGTAACATAGATAGAGAAAGATTGATGATTTAAGAACAGAGAAAATGAGAAAATAAATAAACATCAGATGGGAGGGTAAAATCAAGAATAGAAAAAGATATCAAGGGAAGTTATACATGTAAAAACATATGGAATGATTATATCTTCATAAGTTAATACAAACAATTAATACACTCACAAGACTAAAAGTTGTTGATTGAAAAAACATTTTTACATTATTTTTATTTTTATTTTAAATAATTATAAAAAGTAATAAATAAATGCCATTAAATAAAAATAGAAAAATATAACAAATTATATTAAGAAATTTACATTCTAAAAATAAAAATATAAAATTTCAGCAAAATTCTTAACCTTTTTGTCATTACTTTCATCATATCAATTTCTGTTTATCCTTCAATTTACTTTTTTAATAATTTACATTTTTACATTTTAAATTTATTCTTTTAATTTCAATCCAGTATGTCCAAAAATTCTTTTTATCTTGATAAAGTTTCATCAAATAATTAAACAATGCTTGAAATAATAATCAAAGTTAATATTTTTTTTTTTTACAAACATCTTTAATAAGTTATATATGGGAGAGATCTACGACAAAAATTGAATTCATATCAATTATCAAGTAACATACAGATTAACATTGTTGTATTTTTTGACTTAGTTAAAATGCTATATAAATTAAAAAATATGTTATTTCCTAATATAAGTAAAAACAACTCACAAATTGATATGGAACCATTTTTTGCTACAATCAAATATTAACATCTCTTCCAACTTTATCTATGATTATCTCGTTTAAAAATTAGTATATGAAATTTATAAATTGGAAGAAATTATCAAAGTATTAGCCATAAATAAAACTCTACTATTTATTCAAACTTTATAAAAAATTTATATTCTATTCTTTAATAGAAGATACTATTTTTAATGGTTCAAGTTTATAATTTTTTTTCTTTTGCGGAGCTATATTTGTAGTTATTTGAATGGATTGAATTTTATGTTAAACCGAGTGTTTACTATAATTGATAATTAAGACATAATTGTCCTACTAACAAATAAATTCATCACCTTAATTTTAATATTAATTATTGGATATAGTGTTTATCATTGAAACAAATTATACCTAATAATGAAAACATAACTCTTTTTACTTAGATATGCTAATCCAAATAATCTACCTCCATCACAAAACAATTTAATTTTTATATCGGTAACATTATAGTCCCAAGGACAATTATAAGTACATGGATGAGAAGAGAAAATTTAAACAATTATAACTTATACTAATGAAGAATATTAGAGTGTCTCAATTTTTACATGAATTATGAGATTTCAAATATAACACTATAAAGATATAAGTAATTATAAACTAACAATAAAAAAAATACTAATAATTTTTCTTCCACCATTATTGTAAGATGGTACTTTATGAATGTGTCCAATTTTTAAACAAATGAGATTCATATATTTTTTATTAAAGAATATTTATAAAATATAATGTGTATTATTTTTTTAAAGAAAAAATAATAAAATTTATGAATAAATATATTTTATAAAATTAAAATTTTTATAAAATTAAATATTTGCCCGTTGTTTATAAAACTCCCAACAAATAGGGAATAGATTTGTTCGTTGTATTGACGTGTTCATAAATAACAGAAAGCTATCTATCCAAATCAAAAATTGCATTTGCATGGGACACAATAATTTGATGACCACTGTGTTTTGGGCTCTGCGTTTGTCGGAATTTGTACTGTAACCATCTACGCTCTGCCAGTGCAAACCATTTCTGGCAAAATAGTTTTCGAGTTATCTAACTATAAAAACGGGAATTTAACTAACAAAAATAGTGTTTTGATATGTAGACGGAATGATTTATATAAACATTTTTTTTTAATTTTAATAACTTTCTCCAATTTTAAAATATATAAGTTATAATAAAATATTTAATTTTATTCTTCCATACTTTCTTGTTAACAACTCTCGCAAATACTCTTGTATACTTAGTTTTGGCATTTTAATAAAAAAATAAAATCTCAAAAAAATACAACACAAATTTCCTTGCATTTTAATATTTTAGTATTATTATTATTATTATTATAATAAATATTTGCATTCAGAGAGTCTTTTTCATTATTACTATTCAATTGCATATTACTATTTTCTGTAGTTTTATCATTACTTTTAATAATTATTTTGAAATTTATATTTAATATAAGTTTATATTAAACTATATGTATCCCTATTTTAACTAATGGTATATTTTGGTATGAATAAAGGGAGTTCAGAAATCTGTTTAAAATGTTACACACGTTCCAAAATATAAACAAAACAAAAATACTATAATTTGAATAAGATTTTAGCTTTATTTAAATTTTTATATAAATTCATTTTTTTCGCTTTTTACATAATTAGACAATTTCTTTTTTTTATTTATAATTTAATAATTAAAAAATTTTCTTATATTTTTTTAAATCAATTAATCATTTTCGAGAAACCATAGGATTTTAGAATGCAGGAATATTATCAATAGAAAAATAAAACAATATAAAAAAAAAGTGAAGAAAAAGAAACAGAGGAAATCAGTGTCATTGTTCAGCTCCGACTAGACTTCATCCTTTTTTTTTTGGATTCCAACAGAGTCGCCTCCGCAATCAGGTAAAATTCTCACGTTTTCTTCCTTTTGTCTCCCCCCATTTGAGTTTGACCATTTTCGTTTCTTGTTCACAACTTATGGTTCTCTATATATTATCTCTCTGCATGTACTTTTCTAATTTATGTCTCATCATGTTGACTTCTTGCTAAGGTTGTCGGTGATGCAATTGTTGGTTTTTTGGTGAGAGAAGAAGCTGTTGGGTGGCAAAATTTGTCCTTGGTTTCTTTTGTTGTAATGGCAAACAACTTAACGGGGCAGCTTGTGGCTTCAGAGATACATGGGTTTCACACGTTGCAGGGTACTTGCATTCTTCCCCTTCTTACTTCTTCTCTATTTGGATTATGCTCATGTATGGTTGAACGACGCTAGACTTTTATTAAGTTTCAATTTTAGAATTTCCAGATTTTTCTATGTTTTTTTTATGTCGTGGGGGCATTTTGTGCGAAAATTGTTGTTTGGTCTCATTTATAGCTGGTTTTTGTCTCCTAAAGATGCTAGAGTGTGATTTTCAATGCAACCATGGAGTGAAGAAACAAAGTACGGTTGGATTGATTCTCCTTCATCAAGTGTGAACTTCTCTTGGTGTTTCTCGGGCTAAAGAGGGGAATATGAGATTTAGAAATTGTTCTAGTATTGGCTGCTGTTTAAGCTTGATGAAGTTCAAACATTTTTGGAAGAACTAACTAGAAATCATTCCTTGAAAACTTAAATTAAGGGTATTGGTACTGAAGTTAAAAAAAAATGCAGCAACTCCTCATTTTTTGTGTTGTATCCTTGTATTAGAAAATATTTTTCCTTGCTTGTCAAAAGGCTTGAGTCCCGTTTAGATAAAATTTTCAATAAGCGCTAGTAGAAAAGGAAATCAGAAGGTAACATGAATTGAATTTCTCCCAGAAGTTATAATTAATTTATGGACTAAGGTGCATAAGTTGATTTTGACTTATAAGAGATACTCCATTCGATTTACCTTTCTTATTTTCTTCTAGTAAATAAATATGAAGAATTTATTCAAGCAGTGCTTGAATATTGGAACGTTCTTTTACCATATTTTGGAAACACTGAATGAGTACCGACCTAAACTAAACGGATGTTCTCTGAAATATTACTTATAATCAATTCAATGTATTTTGTTTGCTATTACTATAAGTAAAATTGTTTCATGTATTAAGCTAACATTTATAAGATTTAGAAATTGTTATTTGTTAGTATCTTACTAGATAGACTGTTGTGACTGGCAATGTTGTAACTAAACATAATGCTATCATGCGGCAATTTTGACCCCTCTGGCATAGGAAATTTGGGAAGGGAGGCTCGGCGTGGCAGTGCCATATATAGGAAACAATGGCATGTTTATATGACAGAATTTTTGGCATTCCACCAACTGCCATTGATAACCGTTGTGACTGCAGAATATATTAATTTGTGAATTCTTCATGTTCAAACAAAATGTTGCAACATATAGCTAGAACGATCATGACTTTAAAAGGATTGGTCCCAAGACCCAGTAAACCAGCTGAGATGTCAAACATGCATATGAATATTAGCTTTTGTTAGGATGCGAACTGATTAAAGGAAGTACAAGATTAAAACTTCTAGATGTGAAAGCATGGCTTTAAACTTTTGGTTAAATATGGTATAGAAACTTAACTTGAACTTTTGAAAATGGGTTTACAGGAATCTGACAAAATATATATTTTCTGTGTATTTCTTTTCTGTTTGCTTCCCACTGCAAATATTATGACTACTACCGTATCAATTGTGTGGTCAATGGTCAAAGCATACAAGTCATCTTTGTTGATTTGTTTTTCTAAAGTAATTTCTTATATGTGACCCAGATCTGGATGTTAGTGATACTATGGAGGAGGCAAAAAGCAGATGGCTGCGTCCCAATGAGATTCATGCCATACTCTGTAATCATAAATATTTCAAGATCAATGCCAAGCCAGTGCATTTGCCCGAAAGTAATCATATGCTACTATTAACAGCAGCTTGACGTTTGTAAATTAGATATGCATTTTCAAATAGATTGTTCTTATCATTATTGTTGTCTTTTTCAAATTCTATTTTTACTTTTTCATGTAGCACTTTGATTTTCCTGCTCTGTCGTAGATCTATCAAATGAAATTTTAACAAGAGTAATATTTTTGCATCTACCTAGTAATAATATGTTTGCAGTATTGATACATGATGTCCAACAGGATTCCAATCATCAGTACTAATGATATATTATAATTTTGTTTGTAAAACAGGTGGTACTATTGTACTATTTGACCGCAAGATGCTTAGAAACTTCAGAAAAGATGGGCACAATTGGAAAAAGAAAAGTGATGGGAAAACTGTTAAAGAAGCCCATGAACACTTAAAAGTGAGGATTTCATTTCTGCAGTGTTTATTCGAAGTTTGGTGTTAGCAGTTACTCCATTAAATGTAGTTTACTGAACATGTATCCAGGGGGTTTTAATGGTTTCTTCTTTGTTTTTGGTCTTTTAATTTTGCCTACTCCAGTATAATTGGTCTCTTTTAATAGTCTCCAATGTTATCTTGTGCCTTCCTCAATCCCATTTAATTGGACTATCTAAGCAGTTTAACTGGACCTTTGGTTTTTTAGAGTGTCCAACGGCATCAGTTGGTCGATGTTTCTTCTTCTTTTAAGATGACAAATAATTTGAAATAAATTAATATTTGGAAAGTGATAATTATTTTAGAATTACCAAATTTCATGTTATGGCCCAGCAACTAACTGTCATTCCATTCCAAGTCCCGACACCAACCAAGATTAACTGTCATTTTTTACATTCTGTACATTTAGACATTATTTCTGTTAGATTTAGGAATATTAATTAACTAATTGGATACTACTAGATTTATGTCACACATTCTCTATTCTTTGTTCATCTACAGTTGTAAACTTCTAATATTTTTTAATATTTCATTAATTAACTGCCACTAATTTTAAATTCTGACACCATCAGTTATGGTTGATGAAGACGATAGCACTGAACATTTTAAAAGTAGAGGGTCCAAATTGAACTTTGTAAATAAATAGAGGGATTGAAAAAGTAATTTAACTTATTTTAATCATTCTCTCTCAGTTGCATGTGAGGAATATAATATGTTTTCTCTTTAATCTTGTCACCGTATTTTTTTCTATTATCAACTTCTCTTTCTACAGTGTTTTGTTATATGTAATTCCGATGTTCAATTGAGTTACGAATGATGCGTGTGTCTAATTTTTTGCATTCCTTTTGTTCATTCTTTTTTTGCCTTCTTCAATCAGGTTGGCAATGAAGAAAGGATCCATGTATACTATGCTCATGGCCAAGATAACCCAACCTTTGTTCGTAGATGTTATTGGTTGCTTGATAAGTATGTTTTGCATGACTTTAGGTTCTGAATTCCAATATATCATGTATGTCTGTATTTGTGACTGAGTTGGTACAAGGGTTGTGTATTTCTTGCATTTTTGTTAACCATAGAAGGAAAAAAATTTGCAAACAGTAATGTGACTTTCTATTGTTTGATTTTCTTTTCAGGAGTTTGGAGCACATAGTCCTTGTTCATTATCGTGAAACACGAGAGGTTGTGTTAGTCCTTTTCTTTGTTCCTTATTCATCTTCAAAATTTAACTTCATGTCCAAATGAGGACTAAGATTTGCTATGTGCATATTATTTTTCCTGATAGAAAAACCATATATTATCAGTTTATTGTAGAGATTATATGATAAGATTGTAGGTTGAAATTGCAATAAGATTATTGAAATTTTATGATATATAGGCTGAAAATGTTTAGATTAGCTGACTAATTTCTTAGCAATTATTTCCTTTTATTACCTATACATATTACATAATTAGGCTGAATATCTTGTAGATCTTGTAATATTTTTTCCCTAGTTATGGAAACCTCTTTGAGTCTTTGTACGAAGTTTCCATATATATGATAGGGCTGGGTGATTCTATTTTAAGCTAGTATTTCAGTCAAAAATTTGTTCCATGTCTCTTTTTAGTTGGTATTAGTAGTGCTCTCATTACCTAATCATTTGAGTATGTCTGGATGCGCAGAAGTTGTTGATTAGAATAGTGTCTCTCATTAACCATGTTTCTAAATTGGTGTCTTTTTTTTTTTTTTTTTTTTTTTTTTTTTTTTACTTTTTTTATTTGAGGAGGGGGATAAATTGATGTGGTTGGAATTCGTGGTGTTGTCTTCCAATGCATATATTTAAAGGCATCTCAAGCTAATTTAAAGCTCCTCTAAAGGGGGTTTGTGTCTAAAGTGAGCAAGGGTTATATCCTCACTTAAATTTTAGTTAGTTAAAATAATAATCTAATTCAAATTAAATCAAGGGTGTATACACCCTTACTGACTTCAGAGGAGCCTTTCCCTGACTCTAATGTTGGATATGTTCCATTGATGCTTTCCGATTTGAACTAGTTATTGAATAAAATTTGGTTTTCTAACCTATGTTAGGTGGTGGTTTTTGATACAGATACAATTGCAAAGTTCTCCTGTTACACCTATAAATTCAAATTCAAGTTCTGTCTCTGATCCAGCTGCATCTTGGATTCCACCAGAAGAGTTTGATTCTGGGACGAACAGTGCTTACACTGTTGGTGAGAAATAACTTTTAGATGATTTCGGTCCATTTTCTTATAAGTTATATTCTTGAGGCTATCAATATAAATGGCTTATTACTTTTTGTAATATTGGGACCTTATATTAAGATGTCAAGTATTTGTTAGGAATATAGGCATTGTGCACGTCTTTATACATTGAAAAATTTTATTCCTTCCACGCCAACCATTTTTGTCTTATACCCATCTTTCCAAAGGAAATCATAAATAAGAGCCTTTTTATTTATTGGTTATGATCTATGATCCCATATTTATGGTTACTGGTGTTGCTGTCATACATACTGTTTTTCTTTCCTGGACTAGGTATATATCCTTATCCTTTTTTCTTTTTTGGAGATAAACAGAGCTTAATGACAACGTAACAGTCAAAAATCATGAACAGAAGCTTCATGAAATTAATACACTTGAATGGGATGACCTAGTGGTTTCAAATGTCCACACTTCTACTACACCTAATGGAGGTAATCATTTGTGCTGTAAGAGAACCAGTTGCTTGTTGGCGAAGAACCTTATTATTTATATGTTAAATTTACTTTGGGCAGGCAATGCTCCATGTTCATATCAGCAAAATCAAAGTTTACTGACTGGAAGCTTTGGCAATGTAAGATAAAATGTCCTTGTTTCATTTGTGTTCTTTATTAAGCTGTGTTGTGCTTTTTCATTAATGCTTTCTGGAGGGTTTTATGGGACCATTAGTTCTTTGAATTTTGATAGATAGAAAAATGATAGAGATTGGGCATTATGGGGTGCCTAAGTCCCACATTTAGTAATATGGATTTTCAGTGAAGTATTTAAGTATTTGATTCTCCCCTATAAATAACTAGCTTTTAAAGGTGGGTTTCCCAAGTGTTTGGGTACGTGTGAACTAGTATTAGAGCTAGTTGTGGGTGGCTCGGAAAGGGTTTTATTTTGAGGTGGTGCTCAAGTTCCACTTCGAGTAATATGGGGATGCTTCCTTAGTAGTTAGCTTGTGAGGGTGGGTTTGTCAAGTGCTTGGATACTTACCATAAAAAAAACTTAATAGGAGGGAAATTAAGTTAAACACTACAATAGTGAGGGTAAGATATCCTTGAACTAGAGGAAAAAGAAAGCAAATCTAAGGGCAAAGTGGAGTATGATATCTTTTGCACTTATATATGTACAATATAAATTTATTTTTATATCAGTTAACTAGACAGGGCATATAGGGTTACTGTTTATATAGATAAAATGTCTCTTAATTATATTCTCATGTTCTTCTGCTCCTTCTCCCTCTTCTTTCTTTCCTTTTTCTAGTGATTACTTTCTTTGTGATAGCTGCTGTTGTGACCTATTTCGGTTTTTTATTACCAGGTATCCAGTAATCCTTCAGCAGAAATTCCTTCTTTTGGTGATTTAACTCGGCCAATTTCTGGTAGCGCTAGTGTCGGTTACGGTTTCTCAGAAAGTGTTAATCTGCTTAAAAATAGTCCTTTATCTCCTCTAGGTGTTGACACCTTAGGCACTTTGGTCAATGAAGGCTTGCAAAGTCAGGACAGCTTTGGGATGTGGGTGAACAACATATCCGATACTGAGTGTCCAATAAATGAATCGGCTCTTGAAACATCAATTTCTTCTGTTCATGAACCATATTCATCGCTGGTGGCAGATGATCAGTTATCTTCCCTGCCTGAACTAGTATTTAATCTCACAGAGGTGTCTCCTGCGTGGGCGTCTTCCACTGAGAAAACAAAGGTTTCCTGCTTCTCATATGTCTTATTGCTAGTACCAGTCTTTGATAACTTAGTATGGCTGTGGAATTTCAAAGCTTCAAACTATGAAACCTAAAACTTAATGAGGAGCACAAACTTTCATTTTCAACAGGCACTATTAGCACTCTGGCTACAAGAATGATCAACTCATGTGTTTGCTATACCATTTTTTATTAAATTTCTTTGCAATTATAATATAAGTACACATTTCATGTCTGTAAATCTTGCAGGTCCTGGTAACCGGATATTTTCATAGTAACTATCAACACCTTGCAAAGTTCAACCTAGTGTGTGTCTGCGGTGATGTTAGTTTTCCTGTAGAAATTGTTCAAGTTGGGGTTTACCGATGCTGGGTATCACCACATTCACCTGGATTGGTCAATATCTATCTGAGCTTTGATGGCCATAAGCCTATTAGCCAAGTTGTTAATTTTGAGTATCGTACTCCCATTTTGCATGATCCAACTGCTTCAATGGAAGAGAAATACAACTGGAATGAATTGCGACTTCAGATGAGGCTTGCTCATTTGCTCTTTTCTTCAGACAAGACCCTTGATATTTTCTCAAGTAAAGTATCACCAACTGCACTCAAAGAGGCTAGAAGATTTTCCTCCAAAACATCATTTATCTCCAAAAGCTGGCAATTCTTGATGAAGTTAATTGACGACAAAACAACTCCATTTTCACAAATAAAAGATAACTTGTTTGAAATTGCATTGAAAAACAAATTAAAGGAATGGCTTTTGGAACGAATTATCTTAGGCAGCAAGAGTACTAAATATGATGCGCAAGGACAAGGAGTAATTCATTTGTGTGCAATGCTGGGATATAATTGGGCAATCTCCTTATTTTCTTGGTCAGGCTTGTCGTTAGATTTCCGTGACAAATTTGGATGGACAGCTCTTCATTGTGCAGCTTATCATGGAATGTAATGTACATGAATACCTTGTCTGAAAATTAGCCTATCTGCAACCACATTAACCTTAAAATCCTATTCTGACTCTTCATGTTCAAGTTATTTTCCGTTTCCTTTCACTGTAAAGATCTTTAGACTATATATAACAATACTTTCTTGTATGTTTTTACCCTCCTTTTAATCCAGTAATAAGCATGAACAAACTTTTCATTGTTTATTTGGTTTAAAATTTAAATTGTGTCTGCAGGGAGAAAATGGTTGCAACTCTGCTGTCTTGTGGGGCAAGGCCAAACGTGGTCACAGATCCAACTCCACAAAATCCTGGTGGATGTACTGCTGCTGATCTTTCTTATATGAAAGGATACGATGGCTTAGCTGCTTACCTTTCTGAAAAGTCTCTGGTTGAGCAGTTCAATGACATGAGCTTAGCTGGAAACATCACTGGCACACTGGAAACTGGCTCAACTGACCCAGTAAATCCTGAGAACCTTACTGAGGACCAGCTGTACCTAAAGGAGACATTGGCAGCTTACCGTACAGCTGCTGGGGCAGCAGCACGCATTCAAGCTGCCTATAGGGAACATTCGCTAAAATTACGATATGAGGCAGTTGAATTAACCAGCCCAGAGGATCAAGCACGTCATATAGTAGCAGCTATGAGGATCCAACATGCCTTTCGCAACTATGAGACAAGGAAAACGATGGCAGCCGCCGCTCGGATTCAGCATAGATTCCGTACGTGGAAATACCGTAGAGAATTTCTTCACATGCGGCGTCAAGCTATTAAAATTCAAGTAAGAGCTACTCTTCCTCTCTATTATTGTTCATTTTCTTGAGTAAACATGTCATAGAAAACTGTGGATTCAACAGAGACACTTGAAAATGTAATTTAGTTATGGTTGGTTCTTGCTTGGGAGATTATTTATCTATGTATATCTATAATATGTGAGAATTTGTCTCTAAAGTTGAAGTAAGGCCAACAGCTTGAGTGATAATATACAATTTACACCTTGGAAAAGATTAATGGCATATGTTTTCAATGCAGGCTGCTTTCAGGGGCTTTCAAGTCCGGAGGCAATATCGTAAAATCATATGGTCTGTTGGGGTGCTGGAGAAAGCAATTCTGCGGTGGCGGTTAAAGAGAAAAGGCTTCCGGGGTCTCCAGGTTAATCCTGTTGAGGATGAGAAGCAGGAAAATGGTGCAGAGGAGGATTTCTTTAGGACCAGCAGGAAACAAGCTGAAGAACGTGTGGAGAGGTCTGTCGTTCGTGTGCAGGCCATGTTCCGTTCTAAGCAAGCACAAGTAGAATACAGGAGGATGAAGCTAGCACATAATCAAGCAAAGGTTGGTAACATGCAAAGTCAAATGTTTCATGTTTTCCTTTTATTTTATTTCACATGTCTGTTTACTTTGTTGAACTGCTTTGTGCAGCTGGATCTGGAATTAGAAGATTTCCTCAATTCGGAAGTTGACATGTTACCCAAGATATAGCTTGGCATGTAATGTAGCCAACTCCTGTAACAAAAACTAGTGAGAGCTTGGTGTCTTCTTTTGTATAGCAGCACGTAGATCATGTAAATTCCCTAGCGTTTATGTGTAGTAATTAAGCTCCCTTATTAGGGATGCTTCTGATGCAAGATCAAGTTTGTAACTTACAGAACAACTCATCTTAGATTTGAATACACATAATTGTTGTCAGATTCTATGCTGGTTTAAATTAATTTATATGCGAATGCCTATTTTCGTTAAAAGTGTAAAAATGAATTCATTTAATGTAAAGACACACGTAATTCAATGATCAAATCATAATTGTTCTGACTGTATACAAATTTTTAAAATCTCACTATTCCCGTTAGTGCAAATATATTATTATGCCGGCACGTTAAAATTACTGTATATAAAGTTTAAACTCTATTAATTCTGATATATCTTCCCCAGAAACCAACTTTTCAAAATATTGAGATTTATTTAAGAAACCAATTTTTTTTCTTAACATGTATCTTCTTGTAGGGATAACTTATATATATTAATTCTTCTACAAATGATCACTATGTCTTTCCAAACTATTATTTCATGCAGATAACAATTTTGACAAATTGTTTTCATTGTCCAACCATTCAAAAATATATATGCTGTAAAAAAAACTGAAAAAAATATAAAAAACAATAATAATCTTTGGCTAGTAAAAAGTATCTTGTAGGATAAACAATGAATAATTCTACACTTTTAGAAGGTTGTTTTCACTTTTCAAACAACTTCAAAAGAAAAAACAAAATCTTGGACTGAAAATAGTTATCTTCGAGGGTAAACAATGAATAATTCTGCATCTGCGTATAAAACTCAATCATCACATTATTTTATTTATTTAAAGACATTATGACTTCCATTTAGATCATCAGAATATAATGTCAATTTCAATTCATCGTCATAACAATTTTATTTAGCCTTAAATTATATATATTACTTCATTCATCTCAACCTTTTTATGGATTTAAAATTAAAATTAAAATTAAAAATTATAACATTAAAAAATAGATAAAATATGTTTTCCATCATTATAAAATTATAAATGTTAGTTTTTCGTTCATTTAAATTTTTTAAAATTATATGCTATGATTGTTGTCAAAGTCCGCGAGTGACTTTTTCAAAATAAAGTATATTTTTCATCTTTACAAATTGTATGCTATTGCTATGGATAGAATTGAAGTATATTAATAATTTATAGTAATTAATTAATTAATTAATTACTTGCTATAATCAATTATTTATTTAATATAATTGATTGTCCATTTAATTTTATTAATTATACATTTGATATAATCCATCATACATTTCAAAGAGTTCATTATTTACTTAATATAACAAATTATATATTTATGATAATTAATTATACATTTAACATAATTGATTGATTATTCATTTAAAATAATTGTAAATCCACCTAAATAATCAATTATTCACTTATCATAATTAATAAATTTTAACTCCATGAATAACATCGATACATAATTTTGGGGACCTATTTGAAGGATTAAAAATCAAACATTTGTAACTTTATAAATCCAGTAAACATATTTTTCACTGAAAGTAACTAACGGAGTTTAAAAAATACTAAACAATCTAAAGGGACGAACAATGAATGAAAAGTAAAAAATTAGGGTTTCCGATTTTTTAAAAAAATCTTAAAATTAGTAGGGTTTTAGTTTAAAAATTTGTATACTTTATTATTTAATTTTGTCACACTTTAATTAATTCAAGATGAGAAAAAAATAAACTAAGGGGAAATATTTAGTTTTTAAAATGAACTTTATTAATTTGTTCTGTCTTTATTTCATAAAGATAAAGTAAACTCATTTATTTTTCAATAGCTTTTATCTAAGTGTGTTTAGTCCAACTTTTCATTTCAAGGAGATGAAAAACTAGAAAGAAAATATAGACGAAACAAATGCCATATAAAAAAAAAGTAAAACATTGAAGAGTTTTATTTCCTTCGAGTCCTCCAACACTGGTTTCAAAGAAAATAGTGTATTGAAATATTTGAAGTAGCTCATAATCGGGTCACAAGGAAGAAATGTGAGAAAACTCAAACGCCATTCATGTGTAACAGAGAAGAAGATGGACTAAGATTTTTCCAGATTTATTAATAGTTCCTGCCAAGTCATACCATCCTACAACAGAATCGAGTATTCCAAAGGAGAACATTCCCCAAAAAAATCTTTGAAGATACAAATTTTATCATGTAATATCACTGCAGTTGTATCAAATAATCCAATCAAAAATCATCAAAAGCAAAAACAAAGTTACAATATCTTCTGATGTAACTGCAGACAGTGTAGTTGACAAGAGAAAGGGGAACTACAAATGAATAATGACTCTACTTGATGTATTGGGAAACCCACTGGAAGCCTTCACCATACCCCATCTTGCGCACAATGCTGCACATGAACACTTCAAGGGGTCGAAGGTTGGAGTCTGCGAGGTTGATCTTTCCTTTGCCGGTGGTGAAATTGGTCAGGCCTAGATGAAACCGTAGCTCGTCTTCCGATGCTGCATAAGGGATGTCAATCTTGTTTCCAAGAACAAGAAATGGAACACCTGCCAAGCCTTCATCTGAAAGCAAAGCATCAAGCTCCTTCTTAGATTCCGCAAACCTCTCTTTGTCATAGGCGTCGACCAGGTATACAACAGCATCCACCTGGAAAACGGCAAGGTGAGAAATTTGAAGTATCCAACAACACCAAGTATCATCATCAGAGTCATTGTAGCTTAGGTAAAAACATGCGAAGAACTTTTTGTAGCTAAAGCAACCACCAGCCTTTAAGAAGCTATAGTGGAAAGGTGAATCAAACATTTAGCAGAATTGGTGAATGGAAAACGTTATGAGTCCAGATAATAAGCAGCAAGGACTAAAACGAAGTTCATATTTTAGTTTCAAGGTACATCTCCTCCCTCAAAGTGAAAGAATGAATCAATTTACAATTGTGGCTTTAATCCTAATTGTCTTTTTATGCTTAAAAGGATGATTCAATTTATTGGGAAGCCTAATAATGATCCTTGTAGACAAATCTAGGCATCTTTTATTTGTTCCTCCACTCTTGTGTATGTTCTTTCTTTCCCATTCTTAAGGGGAAAACAGGATATGTTAGGAAATCAACTAGTAAACGCCTCCAGAACGATTTATAGAGGTGCAATCAGCGAAACTTCCATGTCAATATTTGCCTCCCATGAATCAGATAAATACAAAGAGCTTTATCTGGGATTATGAAGGCATATATTGTGGGTCGATGAGCAATTGCGAAAAAGCAAGCAGACAGTTTAGTTATACAAGATTATGAACCAGAAGAGTGAATAAAAAAAAAAAAGTTGCAGAAGCCAGCACCCAAACTATAATGTCCAGAATAAATGATTTACAGAAGCAGAAGCAGCAAGAATACATCAACAAAAACCACAGCAAAAAAAATCCTTATCAGAAGATCTGGGACTCGATATTGAACAAGCCAGCAAGGAGGTAAAGGTGCTGGGTTTATAAGGTCAGTGAAGAAGTCATAACCAGCCAATCTATTAGAAACATTATATTAGAAATGACATACCGAATGAATAAACCCAACCACAAATAATTAAGAAGGAACTTCTCCCAAAATATGATTTTATTTTCTTTAATTTCTTCTCCTACAGCCATGGTAATGGCGAAGTTTATCCACACCAGAGTCAAAGCTAACCTCCTAAAGGAACTTCAAATAAAATAGCCAGGTTATAAACGTTGGTTGCATCACAACCCTACCAAAAGAAATTACGCCAACAACAAAGCAATAAAATATTACAAAGCCTAAAAACCTATCATCCGCTGCATGTTCCATCTCATCCAACTGGGAGTGCCTGAAGCAAACCCCACTTTCAGAAACTCCAAAATCACACAATCCGTTGCTCATAACCACCAGAGAAACATGACAAAATCGATAACAAGCATAAAGATCAAGAGGATGAAGCAAAATTAAAAAAATAACCTTGGCATAATAGTCTTTCCAGACCCTGCGAGCAACTTGATGACCCCCCAAATCGAAAGCCTTAAACTTGATCTTCCCAATGCTCAATTCCTCCGAAGTGGGGTGCTGGGTCGGCTGGTGCTGAACTAATCTCTGCAGCCAAATTCCAAAATTACAAAAAAACAATAATAACTTTTAACGATCGAAAAAAAAAATTGTGAAGGGTAAAAAAAAAAAAAAGAAGACAGGAGGGTAACCTCGTCTTTGAGCATGTGAAGGAGGGTGGTCTTGCCGGCATTATCGAGACCGAGGAAGAGAATCTTGGCTTCTTTCTGCCAGAGACCGAGAGAAGCGAGAATGCCATAGAACCAGTCGAAGAGGAACATGATCTGTGGTCTTGTGTTGGGTGAAAGAGAATTGTCGCAGATCAGAGGAATGAAAATGATGAATGTGAATTGAGAAGAGAGGGAAGCAGATCCCAGAGAGAGATCCTAGATCACGTGTCTGCGCATGTGGTGGTAATGCAATGCTATGCAACACAATACAATACACTGGTGCACTCTTTTTATTATTATTATTATTATTATTATTATTATTATTATTATTAATTTTTTTAATTTTTTTAATTTTTTTGACCCTTGATTTTCCCACGGGAGATTGAAGGTAGAACCAAGGTGGTGGGTAGGTGGTGGTGGCTGCCATCTATGTTTCTGATTTGTGAATAGAGGTGAGTAGTTGTGATTTTCAGTCAAAGCATTTAATAATATGCATTTACTTCATTTTTTTATTAGTATATTAATCACTATTATTTTGAGTATCAATTTTATTTTATTTTTTAAATGAATCAATATATATTTTTAAAATATTATTAAATTTTCTAAAAAAATATAATGTGATGATACTGACTTGGCTTATAGATATTAACTTAACAACATTTTACTATTATGTTAAATATCTTAATAATATTGTTAAAAATAACAATACTAACTTACATAAAAAAAACTAAATTAATATTATGAATAATAATTTAAATGAAATTAAAAAAATACAAAAATGGAGTAAATATAAGTCATTAAATCTTTAAAAATATATCATATACAATGGAAAATAAATTATATTGAGTTTAAGTGCAATTTAGTTTATTCTTAAATATATTCTATGTAAATATAATTTTATTGACAACTCAAATTTATTCACATTTATAAAAAAAATGTGATTTTTATTTTTATTTAATGAGTTTTAATTTCCCAATATTAAATAAACGCATATCGATGTTGGAAGTGATTCCTAAGCTGTGGATTAGAAACAGTGATACCATGTTAATTGGGAGGAGTGATAGAACTTTTTATTTTTATTTTTTTATGAAATATAAATCATAGTTTTCACTCCTTTGTTTATTAACAGTTTAAAAGTGACCAAACTTATTATGAGGATGTTTAAGGTTACATTTGTTCAAAAAGAAGACATAAATATATAAAGAAGATAGAAAAATATGTAGGTAATTGATAATTTACACACTAGATAATTTTTTTTTTCCTCTCATTTTTTAGTTTTTTTGCTCACTTTGCATGAACTTTTTTCACCCCATATATTCCACCATATTTAAAAAGATGAACTTTTTTTTTACTTATATAAACCACCATCTTCCTTCCTCTTTCTTTTTCATATTTGCAAACAAAACCTAAATTTAAATAAATAAATAAACTTATTACATATATATACTAGTAAATTAGATTAGAGCAAATAGTAAATATTTTGTTAACAATGAATTTTATATTTTATTACATATTCATTTTATTATTAAATCTTTGAATTATTTGAAATATTTCAGATAAACTATGTTACTTGTAAGTATTTTTCAAGAGTTTGTAAATAATTTCTTTGAGAAAGTTTTCAAGATAAGAGAATATAAAAATATTTTATTGTTTTTCATTAGTATTTTGAATGTTGATTTGTTTTTAGGTGAAGTAATATATTTTCATAAAACAATTTGTGACATTAACGTGATTGTGTTTATTAGTATATTACTTAAAAGGAATCAAATGAATATTGCAAATTATGATATAAGAAAATTTTTAAAAAATGGATAAAATAAACTATTTAGTTTTTTTTTTAAAAGTCATATTTAACTTTTTATTTATTTTATAGTTCTCATATTTTTAAATAAATAGTACAAGTTTACGATTTTTAAAGTACAACTTTGTTTGATTTAGATTAACAATTTGATACTGTACAGTAGAAAGAGCATGGAAACATGTTCAGTTTTACTTTGAATTACAATGGAAGTTGAAAATCATAATAAATAATTATTAAATAAAAAAAATTTGTCATTAAAGAGAGAAAACTCTAAAAGGCTTCGTCGTCTCAATCAAAGGTCGCATATATAATTAAACAAATCCATCTCCCAAAAACCCTAGCAGGCGGAACGGTACGAGCACTATCTCTTCTGTTCTTATTTTCAATTTTCCCTAACAGTTTTTTTGTGCTTTTCGCAATTTGCCCTCTTATTCTGCGTTTTCTGGTTCCAGCGATGGCAAAGTCTAAGAATCACACAGCTCATAACCAGTCTTATAAGGCGCACAAAAATGGCATTAAGAAGCCTAAGAGACATCGCCACACTTCCACTAAAGGGGTATTTTTTTTGTTGTCACTTTGTAATTTTTAGGTTTTCTTTCTGCACAGTTTTTGTTTGAGTTATTAAATTGTTTTTTTTTTAAGATTTTTATGCGTTCATATTGTTGGCGATTTGTGTAGATGGACCCTAAGTTTCTAAGGAATCAGAGGTATGCGAGGAAGCACAACAAGAAGAGTGGGGAAACTGCCACAGAGGAAGAGTAAAGTGACGTCTTCTGACGTTAATCGTTGATTTTTTTTAATGGACAACTTTGTTCGGAATCAATTTTCAATAGTATAATTAATGTGTTGACAATGTAGTATTCTTATAGTTTTGTTTTCCTGATTTCAATTGAAGAGAACCCTTGAATCTTTTTAATCAATGGAGTGAATGTTATGGTTTTGTTTGTGTTTTTTAGGCGTTATGTGGATGTGTTTGAGTAAGAATTGAATGTTTGCTGCCTTAATTCTGGAAAGAAAAAGAGGTAGCTTTTGCTTTTAATGGTTAGCTTAGAGCACTATTCCACCATGCTTTTGGATCTAGTCTTAATTGGGAAGAAGCTTGAATTTTCATGTTTGTACCCGAATGAGACAAAATGGAAAGGACTTAGGAAATGTGCATGGCTGATTTTAGGGTGTCTTTGGAAACCTTTTTGGTTCATGTTGAAGAGAAGTTTTACACTTTTCAATGCACACTGAGAAACAAAGTGAGCTGAACTTGTACATAGATTATTTGACCCCAACTCGTGCTCCAGCACACTTGACCTTAGATTGTTTCTTAATTAAACCCAGATAATTTCAGAGCAATTTTTTGTACTTGTTATTTCTGATATGCTCATCATAGTCTAAAAGGTGTGTTTCCAATTTATGCTGATAGAAGTGTATAAATTCATCTGCTTGAGAATGGTATTGTATTGGTGATTATGATGTATGTTAAACAGATATGTTTCCATAGCTCATTATAGGTAGCAGTTTTTGTGATACCTCTGCCCTGGTACGTTAACTTTGTGAAAGAATTTAAGGTTTATTTGGACTAATTATCAGTAAGAACTTTGGACAAAAAAGACTAGAAATGAAATGAATTTTTATAATGCATAAGCTAGTACTGATGAGTTTTCTTGTAGTTTTTTTTTTGTTCTCTAATTCGTGTACAAGTTAATTTTATCTTAAGATATTTTTTTTTTACTTATTTTTTCTTCAATAGTTTTTATTAAGTTTATGTATAAATGTATATACTGGCTATGCTATGTATAAACTAAAGTTGCCACCCCAAATTTATAAGGTCAAATTTAACGGTGCTTGATATGGAAGTTTTATATGAAGGATTATAAACCATATGTTGCACATAACTAAAGCAATTGTCTGTAAACCATACTCATATAACGTGTTCAACCATGGATCTAATTTAAAGCAATTGCTGTAGTTGTGAAGGCATTTGGAACTAAATGTGCTCCAAGTCCATCGTCAGTGGCATGCTATTAGTGGCTCGAGCAGTAACTATTGTAAAATGTTTGAAGTTGACTAATGTATCTTCTAAGCAGCAGACCAATATGTGGGTGTTTTAATGAAAATTATGAATTGTTAAAGATTTTATGTGGATTGGTATAAAAAATATACTCAGAAATAATACTTTAAAAGTAAGTTTAGAAAAAAAAAATTGATTTTATGTGTGGTGAAATGAAATGACATTTTAAAGTATTGGTTGAAAGATGTATCGAGAAAATTTCTATAAACGGCTCCTCGACATAATCTTATACGTTTATTCGGTAAATCAGACTGTATAATTAGTGCATAAACATATTGATCATAACAAGATAGCGCCTCATTTTGCCATGCCATAATCTGACTGGGAAGATCATAGCAATAGCAAAACAAAATTACATACAAGAAAAAAAAAAAACTATATGTAAAACAAAATTGCTTTATTAGTGGCTACGTTATTGTCATCACGGTAATATCATGATAAATCATACAATAAAAATTGAAAGTTTATGTACGCGCTCAAAACTGACTGAAAAATAGGCTACTCGCAAATGCCTCGTGACATGAAAAATAGGCTACAGCTAATAACCGAACAGTAAGGCATCTAGGCTGCAATTAGTGAAAACGAGTTTCTAAAGTGAAAAACAATCTGTGCTGGACGCTAACAATATGCCAAGAAAATAACAAATTCGGTACTCATCCATTCCGAGACCGTTGGTGAGACTCCTTCTTACTGTTCCCTTTTTTTACAGAATTCTGAATGTGTTGAAGATGTTAAAATGCATTGAAACTCCGTTGTACATAAAACCCTCTTGTAAAGCAGATACTCAGGGTAGATTAAACTGCAACTGCTTCCTTTACTGACCCAGAAGCTGGTGCTTTAACCTGATTTTAGTAATTGAAGAGGGAAACAATTGTTAAGGCACCAGGCATAACTAACTATTAGTGTAGGAACGTTTTAGTCTGGAAGTAAATTATGGCGTAGCTCACTTTTGCTGATTTAAACAGCTCATCAAGCACCTCAGACAAAGTCGGATGAGCATGAACCGCAAACTTTATATCCTGCATTGATGTTAGAGATACCATTCAGAGAGAGATAAAAGGATACAAAGATTCTTGAGGCTATTAACAGGTAAGTTTAAAAACACGGAATAAAAAACCTTATTTATTTGTCAATGTAGCACAGGCACCCGACCATCAATAATAACTAAATCCAGGCTCTCACATCTGACAGCTGTGGAAGCAAAAATTTACCTCAATACGTGTTCCTAACGCTATTGCATTGGATGCCTCGTGGATGAGATCAGCAGCATGCAACCCGAAAATATGAACTCCCAGTATCTCTCCAGTGTCAGGCCTGTATATCAACTGCATGAAAACAGCGTAAAAATACTAAACAATGAAGCTAGTATAGAACAACAATGCTTCTATATAAAAAGGGTAAGATTGAATTCAAGAAGTAAACCAGGACTCCCTGTGTTATGATTTGGGTGAGTCGATAATCATGTTTGGATAATTTGACTAAATCAACTCACATTTTCAAGGTTGTAAAATGGTTAGAAGATCGATAATACAAAATCAATTTTAGCAGGGGGAATCCAGTAATATGTAACATATACTTTTAAAGTAAAATGTTATAACACAATTTCCTTTACAATCTAACGCAAATAAGCTTTTGTAGAATAATAGAATCAAGGGAAAAGATAAAGAAATATAACCTTCGCAAGACCCTCTCCTTCATTTTCAGCCAAGGCCTTTGTGTTAGCTTTAAAACTTGTTTTGGCAACGCTTACTTCAAAACCTTCCTTTTCACCTTTCTCCCTTGCTTGAGGCTGCATATAATGTGTTTAACCATAATACATGAGTTCATCTGAGTGAAGGTCAACAAGAAGTAGTTTTAAATATAAATAATATAAGGGCAAAGGGGATTACAGAGAAGAAGAACAGGGGAGAGGAGAGGAAAGTTACCCATGGATATGAAAGAATGACACAAGCAGCAGGTGGAGGTTGAAACATAAACAAGAAGAAAAATAGTATTTACCTCAGTCAATCCAACCATGCTGATTTCAGGATGAGTAAAACAAGCAGCTGGTATGCTTAAATGATTGAGCACGTGATCTCTTCCAGTGACTTGTTCAACCACTGTCCAACAATCTTTTTATTGAGTAAAGGAACCAAATGACTCAGATATTTCTAACAAATTACATTACTTGCTTCTTACCTGAAATTCCTTGTGCACTGGCAGCATGAGCAAGCATCATCTTGCCATTTGCATCACCAATACAATACAAATGAGGAACCTATCATTCCATTCCTAAATCAGTAACAATATGTCAGACCAAGAAAAAATAATGTGTGCATGAAACATTTGAAGCAAACCAGTTTTCTATTTGCATCAAGTACTCGCATGCGCTCATCCACAGGAACAAAACCACGCTGTGTTACAACATCAATCTGCAGGAACAAGTAAAGAAAAATATCCAATCACTTCCTTTGAGGAAAACATTTTATCAAAAGTATATTTCAGTTAGAAAGGCATACATTCTCCAATCCAAGACATTGTGTGAAAGGAGCCCTTCCAGTTGCTATTAGTGCAGCATCCACCTATATCAGCATCAGCTTGTAAAAAGTCAATATTTAAATATGTATGTGGGGAGGCGGGCGGGGTTGTACATACATGTATGGATGGATTGCTAGATATGTATGTTAGGTAATTCAAATGTGATTCTAAGTCCCACATTGTATAAAAATGAGAAAGTTGAGCAACTTATAAGAAAATATAACTCATAACTCAATGTCTTAAGGTTTTTTTATTAAGAGTGTTGTCAATCCTTGTGTAGGTTGGACTCATATCTTATTGGTGTTGGTGTTGTGTTTTCCCCTGTAATGTGTTCTCCCTGTGAATTCTCCTCCAAAGACCTAACAATGTGAAATCCTTGAAAATCCTATCCTTAACACTTCAAATGTAGAGCTACAAAATTCAATGAAGATACACACAAGGTACCAGCCTCTAAATCTAAGCAGAGTCAGATGTAAATTTCAGAAACCTGGAAGGTGAAATCCTTGAACATTAACAGCTTCTGTCCCAGTTACGGTGAGCCACAGAATTGTCTGCCTGAGCATAGCTACATGCATTTGTACTGTTGTACTGTTCTCTATATGATTTATGAACTTGAGTACATTAATCACTTGGATTTTGAAAATGTGATCTCTCGGTTCATTACAAGGTCTATCATACCATGAGAGCAAACTGTATTAGGAGTGTCCTACTATATTATGAATATGACAAGGTAAGAGTTTGTTCCCTGGTCACATGTTCTCCAATCAACCTTTACAATTAGTACTTCTGTGGGAGAAAATTTTAGAGTTAGCTAATTAATTAAAAGCCTTGAGGAAAGACATTAAGGTACCTCCAAAATGTCCTTCTGTTCCTTCGTCTTTGCATCAATGAGCTCGATCGTGACAGGTTTTCCATCTCTTGCAGGAGTGATCTACATAGAGGACATGATGACTGACAGATCAAAATAGCTACCAATAAAATATTATATAAGAAATTACCAGATGTGATTACCTTTGATGCAAAAACTCCAGTATGATAGTCAATATTTCGGGGATTTATGAGGACCCTTTGAGCCAACTTGCTAATTTCAGGATCAAATCCTGGCATGAGCTGGTCTAAAGCTTCAATAAAAGTAACCTGCAGTGTATTATTATTATTATTTGCGACTATATCCCTTCTGCACTAATTATGTTTCTAGCTTTTACAAACAATGAAATAATATAAAATATTTCAGACATCCTAAAATTCTTTTAGAAAATGGCAAAATATTGAAGGTTCTTCTCATGAAAAAAATACAATGGAGAAAGAAAAAAGGAGAAGTAATACCTCACTTCCAAGAGCTGTATAAACATCACTGAATTCAAGGCCAATATAACCACTTCCTACAATTGCTATCCAATCTGGAACAGTCTCCAGTTTAAGTGCATGGTCACTGGTAATCACAGTCTTCCCTGAATGCGTACACTTGGTGAGATTTCATTTGAAACCAAATAAAACTTACAAGTCGAAATAAAAAAACAGAAAACATGAGGACCAGTCTCAATATAGAATAGAACTGGATAAAGATCTCCATCCCCTTATACACATTTTATTATTGTCTAGTATCCTATATACTAATATATTATCAATCAAAACATCTATCTAATGATAAATTGATCGCTTCTTTTTTTCATTGGGTGCTAACTGCTTATATAATTGATAGCACTCTACTTTTTATGCCACTAGTGGCATGATATGATTCCTGTTATAGATGGTACTGTACATCCCAGTTTCTGGCAGCAGGAAAACATGCCTATAATCAATCCCTTTCATTGAGTAAAACTGGAGATGCTAGCATAAACCAATAATGTCATGCAAGAAAAGATAAAATATGTAGTATACGGTGTACCATCAACTTCAATGCCCTTAGGAACAAAAGGAACTGAACCAGTGGCAATGATGATGTCTTTCGCAGTTATCACTTTGTTGGAAGAGCCAACTTTCACCTTTTGGGGACCCTGCGTGGATTCAAATACAAAAGGTGCTAAAATTATAATTTGCATGGTCGAAATTTAAGCCTTGCCTGATAAACAAATAATTCAATTTCCAAAGGCAATCACAATAGCCTTTATCTTTCACACCCCAACATATCACTTACCAAAATCGTTCCAAAACCAGTGAGAATGTCTACTCCCAGTGCTTTCAAGGAATTGGTCAAGTTGCCACGGATTTTGGAAGCAAGATTATTAGCATGGTCAGCAACTGCTTGCCTATCATACCCAGCAACGGATACCTAAAACAACAAATATTAATAAAACCAATCACTCTGCCTAAACACAGTTCACACATTTTCAATTCTAACACAACACTTTTACCTGTCATACCCAGCAGCAGAAACCTAGAACAACAAATATATCATAATACAACCAATCTCTCTCCCTAAACACAGTTCACACGTTTTCAAGTCTAACACAATATTTTTACCTGCAAACCCAGCGATTTCAAGTGATGATCATCCCGCAGCTCTCGCATACGACCACTCACAGCCAAAAGAGCCTTAGAAGGAACACAGCCCCTATTCACACACGTCCCTCCAACCACATCTCCCTCAACAATGGCCGTTTTTAAGCCCTGCAAACCACTTCCTCGCTTCAGAACTTCTCCAAAAAAATATAAAACTTCAGCAATACACAATATCTTCATTAATTAACGGCTAATTTGTGTCTCATCTTATTTCTTTGTTTCAGCTTAGTCTTCAAAGTTTTAAAGTTTAGTGGTTTGTTGTAATCTTAATAAACGTGTCAAATACTTATTTGGTTTTTAACATTTCTCCCAGTTTCTCACGTCTTATCAAGTTAATAAATAAACTGAGAAAAACAGATACACTTTGTGTAACAGAGTAAAACGTTAAAGTTAACACAAAACTGAAATAAAAATATAAAATGAGTGAACAAAAACTGATTTCAACCTCAATTAAACAAAAATTTCTAACTCATTACAAAATTCAGCTGAATTTTCCAACTCGACAGAGCGCGCTCGAGTGTAAGCCTCTCGGTGATCCAATTGTCCGAAGGAGAAGCACTGAGCGTACCTTCTCCACTGCGTGGAGTGCGGCGCCGTGGCCACCCACACCAGCGCCGATGATGAGCAAGTCGTAGTCGAACGATGTGGGAGCGGTACGGTTTTCAGAAATCGCGGCAAACACTGCTGTGTAGTCCCGCCGACGGTGGCGAGAGTGGTGATTGAGGGAACTGGAAGTGAGTGTCTGGCGGCGGAGACCGCAGAAGCGGAGAGTTGAAGGAGCGAGGCTGCAACAGGAGAGCGGAAAAGAGTGTCGTGGCTCGGAAACGGTGGAATAGTAAGAAGAAGTGAGAGAAATGGATGATTGCATTTTGGAAGAAACAGAAGTCTAAGAAAACAAGTGGTTCTCTCCTAGTGTAAGAGAGTGAGGGCGGTGAGTGAAAGTTTGTTGGTTGGTTCAAGTGCAGACGGATAAACCTCCTTCTTCTCTGTTTGTTAGCCTTCTATAATCAACGTGTCTTACTACTACTGGTCTCAAACTTGCAACTTCCATCTGAAAAAGATGCAAAACATGTTAGTATTTTTAAGAATCAATTTACTTTTTCTTATAATATTTGCTTATTAACTTACAAATGAAAGGTTGATATCTTTCATCATAAATTTATTTGTTTCTTTTTAAGGGTAATTTTATTTTAAAAAATAAGAATTTTTATTTTTATTTTAATAAGACATTTATAAGATAAATATGTTTGTCTTATAAAATAAAAATTCTGAGAGTTGAATAATAAAAAAAATGGGTTTTACATTATTATGTTTATTTTTTATTTAATATTTATTTTTTATTTAATGTTAAATTTTTATAATTGTAAGAAAGTTTTAATATTTTCTTTATAATTATTTAAGGAAAAGTAATAAGATAAGATAAAATATCATACCATAAATTTAATGTTGTAAACTTTAAAATTTAATTAAACTTTTATCAAAGAATATATTTCTTAGTGGTTGAAATTAGTATTGTTAATATATTTTGAATATATATATATATATATATATATATATATATATATATGTATATATATTATGATTTAAATGATTGTGTTTTTTATGTTATATTATTTAATATAAATTAATATTATAATTTAAATTATAAATATTTTTAATATAAATTTAAATTATTAATTATAATAAAATAATTTAATATGTAAATATAATTATTTTTATAATTTATTTAATAAACGACATTAATTAATAAATAAATATTTACAATATTTTTATTATAAAATTTATTTTAAATATATATATATATAATTTATTTTGTGTAAAAAAATTGATATTTTAACCACTAATCTATTATTTAATCAAACGCTTAAGTTTGTCCATCTTGTTTTTTTAACTAAAATCTAAATAAAGGACGAATTTTAGGCAAGATTTTCATTGTAAGATTAATTAATTTGTTTTAAACACATAAATTTAATAATATTTAATATACAATTAATATAACACGTAAAACTTAATTAGTTTGTTTTAAAAATATAAATTTAATAATATTTAATATAATGAATATAACACCTAAAAATATATTACAAAATATTTATTGTACTGTGAATTTTATTATCTAATAACATAAATTTTTTATCACTTGATTTTTATAAACATTATAAAGATATCAAACTAAGAGTTTGTGTAATATTTGATTGTTATTATTAAAATAAATCTTTTTGTGAACTTCGTATATATCAATAATTTAAATTTTGTTAAATATTTTACTTTATTAATTTATTATTTAATAATATTTATCATAAGTATAAAAAATTGAAAAGATATAATATATTTCATGAATTATAAATTATATTTTTTATTTATAATATGTTATATTTGATATAGTGAAATAAACATTAATATATTAATAATTTTAGATACAGCCAAAACTAATATTTATAACGTTTTAATACGTACTAGTTCACATTTTTTTCTTTATATAAAAAATAACATGATTAAGTGAAATAGTGATTAATAGATTAATATCAATATTTTAAAAAATTATATTTTTTTACACCCTTTTAATAACACATTTAATATTACGAGATATTCAACTTAAATATTATGAATGAATTAAATATGGGACTAAAATTTGATTTTTGTATTTGTTTCATTTCTGGCCATCTTCTTCCCCATTTGTTTTGTCTGTTATAGGATTTGATTACTCTTGAACATAATGAATCTTTATCTGCTAGGATTTGATTCATTCTGGATAAATGATTTTTAGATTAAATAATATATTATTAATAAATAATAAATACATATAAAAAATATAAAAATAAAAATTTAAATTATAAATATATAAATAAATATGTTTAATAATTATTAAACTTAAAAATTTAAATTATATTTATTAAATTTATAAATATATTTATAGATCATAAAACTTTAAGAAGTCATAATTATAAACTTCTAAAATGTTGTAAAGTTTAAAGAAGAATATTAATTTTTAGAATACATTATGAATTACTTCTTATTTAAAAATAAATAAATTTATTATATTACATTATTTTAAAGTAATATATTTTTTATTCTACTTAGATATAATTTTTTTTAATTAATTTTAATAATTCATTTTCTCTAATTTTTTTTATTTATTTTTTGTAAGTTACTTAGTTAAATAATAATAAAAAAATAACTTATCATGTCTATTAAGATTGTTGAAAATTTGTTTAAAACAGTTAATATTTTATTAAAATTTTTGATGAAATAATTTTCATTAAAGATGAACATTTGTTAAGAGAATTTTTAGTAAGGGTAATTTAAAAGTAAAATTAAATATTTTATTATAAATTTCAGTTATGAATTATTTAAAGATTGGTTAAAATTATTTATATAAATATTTTTTATTTATTTTAAATAATATTCTTTAATGGTAATCAAATCAAATATAAAATCCATAATAAATAATTAATTTTTATTAACAACTCCGGATTGTACTTTAATAAAAAAAGGAAAAATACATTTAAATTTCATGGGCATAAGATAATCACACATAACATGCAATCCACTTTCACGTACAACCACCTCACAAGGATAAATGATAGGCACATTGTCCAAAGAAAAACTCAATTTTTTTTTTTTTTTTTCATTTAGGATGTAGGTATTGGAAGGTAGCTTAAGAAACCACATCCACTTAACAATAGAGACGAGAAAGAATGATCTGACCAAACAATAGTTTATATATCAGTCAATATAACATCAATCAAAAATGATTTTTTTACACTCATGTTCAAACATCGAAGTGATAATTTGGGGATTCAAATATGATTTTCTTACAATTCATGGTTTTGATTATAATTTTGAAGGGTGAAAGTTGTAATTTAGAGATTGGTGAGGGCAAGTCTTGTGAATCTACAAAGTTTGTCACTGTTGGAGCGAAACACATTCTCCCGCTCTTAATCTGCTCACCCTTCCCAAGTTGAAAATCAAAGCAACTCCCCCTGTGCTTGTCTCTGCATTGTTCCCCTTTTCTGAATCTTCTCAGCCTTTCTGATCTTCTCATTTTTCGTCTTTGTCATGCTTGTGCCCCTTGAAGTTGTTGGAGCCAAACACATGTTCCCGCTCTTGTGAATTTGTTGACCCTTTCCAGGTTGAAAATCAAAGCAACTTCCACTATACTCATCTTTATGGTGTCTCGTTCTTTTAAATCTTCTCACCCTTTCTTGAATCTTTTCGCTCTTCATCTCTGTCGTGCTTATGATCCCCTTGAAGCCCTTCCCCAGCAAAATCTCCTAGTGAGTGCAGTTTTCGTCTTTGACATAGTTTTGCAACCTCTTTGAATATTTGGTACAATTCTTTGTCCCTATCTGCTCTATATAGGTTTAAATTCTGCAATGTCTAAGTATTGTGTGGTTGATAAACATAGCAAAATAATGCTTGATGTTATATGAATTGTGTGTTTAATGATTAACCCGCCATTGATGCTAAACCTTTGTATTAGGGTTTTGAAATTATTTGTCTTTTTTAGATGTTTACCAGCTCCCTAAATCTGTTCATATGGCCATGACCCAAAACTATCCCAAATTGGTGAAACACAACATTAACAAAATCATATTGAAGCGATTTCCCACAATCCCTTGCATTTTAATCTTGTTGGATAAAAATGATGAGGGAGAAATTCAAAACAAAGACTGACATTTAGTAGCCAAACTTATGTGATGTTGATTTCAATATTTATAGGAATATAGTATGTTGGGACAAAAAGAAACAATACATCTGGAATAATAAGATATGAAAGTGAAATGATATAGAAAAAAAATTAAAAAATAGGAGATATAGAAAAAAATTACAAGAGATGTTGTTGTTTGTTTTTGGATGTTGCATGAATTGTGTCTTACCTGATAAACCTGACATTGATGCTAAATTTGTATATTGAGGTTTTGAAATGGTGTTATTTGACATTTGATATTTTATGAATTGTGTGTTAGATTTTGTATGAATTGTGTCTTTATTGATGAAATGAAATTATTGAGGTTTTGAAATTAAGAAAAGAGTAATGAAACTAAGATAATGAGATCATATAAAAGATTAATGATTGTTTAGTGTTCAGAAGAAATTTAAGAGTAAATGCATTGTTGTTGGAATTTGAATGAAACTAAATTAAAGTAGGGAATGAATATTTGGTGGTCTATATTGTGGTAACAACTCAATTATGTCATTCTACATACATTAGAAAGTGTCTTTTGAGTTAATGGTCCTAGCCTCCACTTTGATATTCTAAGTCAAGTTATGGGTGAACTTCTTTAGCATTTGTTGTAACTCTTTGTTAATAAACATGTCTTTGTGTAGCACTTGTCCATGCAATTTGGTACTTTTTGCTCTTCTACTAAGTTTGACTTGTGAGACAACCACTAAGTTTGTTTAAGAAGAGGAACGTGAAAATTGTATGCTTATAATGTTAGTTTAGGTTATTATTATCTATTGTAGCCTTATATTGTTATATATCATTTAATATTTATTTTATTAAAATTATAGACTTATAATGTTAGTTTAGATTATTATTGAATATTAAAATTAGTTTATTACAAGTGTTTGGTATTTTGTCATTATAAGGTTAATTTTATTATAAGTGTTTGGTATATTGTTATATATCATTCAATATGTACTTCAAATAAAAGAGTCATTACAAATATGTATCAACGTTATAAGAAAACTAGTTAGCCCATGGTCAATTAGTGATAATTGTTTTAGAATAAAACAATATATTGTTTATGCATAAGGGGCAAGCGTACCAATATTATTAATCGCGAGTACAATATTTCAATTAAATAAAAGTTAATCCCACGAGAAACGGTTTCACATAAAATTTTGAATCATATGTTTACTAAG